AGCAATAAGAGCATTTCATTCTAAGTATGGCACACACACTGGAGTGTCTGATTCGAGTCTCAGACGGTAAATAGCGTGAATGAACTAGATAACCAAATTTTTTTTTCTTTTTTTTTTGAAGATTTACGCATTTTTCGACCAATTCATGGGTATTTTTAGGTTAATTGAGAAATTTGATCAATGCGGTACACTTGACGATAGGAGGCATGAGAATCCTGGCCCTTCACCTACTGTAACCACAGATGAGTTTATCCGTACAACTGAAGAACATTTCAAAAAATATCCAAATAAAACTCTTCGGAAGGCTTCCGAAACCTTGAATCTCTCGAGAACTTCACTTCACCGTATCTTAAAAGTGTTTCTCAACTTCCATCCCGACAAAATTTCTGTACATCAATTTTTAACTGAAGAAGCGATGGTTCGTCGTGTGGAATTTTGCCAATAACTTTACAATCTTTTTGAATCCAAGGGGATGAAGGCACAGAATATCATCTTCTCCGACGAAGCACATGTCTACTTAGGTGGCTTGGTAAATAAACAAAATTTTCGCTTTTGGGGGACTGAGTTACCTCACGTTGTTGAAATCAAGTCCTCACACCCGAAAAAAGTTACTGCATGGGCGGCAGTTACCATAAAGGGTGTTTTCCTTGAATTCCTCAAGAGTCGGACAATTAATGCTGACATTTACGGTAAGTGCTTGAAAAAGAACTTCTTTCCTTGGGCACAAAAAAATCAATTAGTCAAGAATTTCTACTTCATGCAAGATGGTGCCGCCTCACACAGGACTATTGGAGTATTTGAAACACTTTTTTCCGTTTACGGCATTCGTGTGTTAGGTTTAGGTTACCCTCAGTATGCCCATGGGGGCATGGAATGGCCGCCTTACATTCCTGATTCCTGAATTCCTGTGATTTTTGCCTGTGGGGTTTTCTCAAGGACAAGTGCTATGAAAAGCATCCGACGACTGTGGAACAGATGCAAGACGCAATTAGGGATGCTGTCCGAGCTATTGATGAAAACATAATACAGCGCATCTATACCAGCTTCGAGCGTAGGATAGAGTTCTGTAGTACAAGTGATGGCGGACACTTGGAAGGGATTGTATTATAGTTTGCTGAATGTTCTGTGTACAATAAAAAAAACAACAATTATTTACACTCAACCGTATTCAAGTTATTCGCAATTTACTTTTGTCACATACTATGGGACACCCTGTATATTGAGACGAATGTCCCCGGATGAAAAATTTGAGTCTTTTTGGGGTCTGGAGGACTCGCGTCTGCATCTATGAGAGAGTATGGCTCAGCGCCGTAGCCATACTTTTGAGACTCTGCATGAGAGACGCGGCAAGACTGTCGAGAGACTGCTACTGAGCGGCTCTTGGTGAGAGACTCCGCGTACCTTACATATCGCAATAGTTAATTAATCACTAATAAATCCTTCAATTTTATTAACAATAATTTAATATATTAATGTAGTTGATTCATGAATTTAACAATTATGAAAAAGAAGAAATCGGTTTAGCAGTTCTCCAGATATTCCCTCCTGGTCGGTCCGCCATGTTCCCTTTCAGTCACCCATCGTTTTACTAACCCAACTCGCTACTGCTTAGCTTTAGTGATCGCAGGCTACCCCAGTATCCTCTGCGTTGTGCAACTGCTTGTGGCAGGTTGTATTTTTTCCTGCTTGATATGATAGGAAAGATGAACTGCGGGGTAATATAAGATAACGGAGAAAGGGGCATTATAAGAGAAGTTGGAATGAAAGGGTCAATGGGGTAAAATGGGATGCTCGGGTGGAGTGGACCAATTACACAGCGGAGTAAAATGGGGAAGCGGTTAAAAGAAACTTTACAGTGAACCAAAATGATAGTTACTCCGATAGTAAAGTGGGATAACCAAATGAATTGGAGTAGGGGGTGAATCCAGTACACTGATAGAAAAGGTGGAACGATTCAGTTGCACCAAACGAGGCTTCTTAACTGTTACGGCGATTCGTTAATAGTTAACGAATCGTGGTAATAGTTAAAAAGTCTCGTTTGGTTCGACTAAACCGTTCTATCAGTGTAGTGAATTAATTTAATTGTTTTACTCTTTTTACTTCTTTAATTTACATTTTTCATTTTTCTATTCATAGTTCGGTAAATCGAATGATTAGATGAAATTAGATGGTGGGGTGTAAAATTGAATTCCGGAGTAAACAGAACGAGAACGATATTCCCTGCTCAGATTGTGGAGCAAAATAGGGTGAACGAAATGATAGGCTAATTAGCCGGAGGTTTAAATTGGGCGACAGGTAAATTAAATAATAATGTTTAGTAGGATAATCAGGTAAAATCGATAGCGGGATGAAATGGGTGAGTCTGGAAAATATGAGGGTAGGGTGAAACGGGATTGTGGGTATAATGGAACTACCTGGCAAATTGAACGATAGACAAAATTGGGCGGGAGGCAAAATAGGACCACAAGGCAAAATTGGATAGGGTGAATTGATGAAATAATGGGGTTCGACAGAATAAGAGTTTAAAGCGGATCCGCTTTAACCCGTTATCTTACCCCACTATCCCATTTTACCCCACAATATAATTCGCCCATAACCTGATCACTAGATTATCTTATCTTGCGCTGTTGTCCAATTCATTAGCCCTCCCTCTCCAGTCATCCCCTGTACTATATTATACTCGCTCCAGTGTCCATTTACTTGATAATTAATGAATCAATAATTCATTTTAGCGAGATCCTGATTATCATTCCTCAGAATTCTAAGTCCCTATCTTTTAATGAGAGACTGTAGTATTTACCATGTAGCGAAGACTCAGATAGACTGAAGTCTCTCACCAAAAACTCTTCGAGACGCGAAACCGATTACGGGACATCCAAGCAGACTGATTTTAGACTCTCATAGTCTTGGAGATCCGATAGACTGAAAATTTTTATCCCGGGGTGGTTTTATAATTGGAGCCGAAGGCGAGCATTATAATCACATTCGTTGAAAAATATTTTGTGGACTCGTTGGAGAGTTTATGGCGTGTAAACTTCGTCCAGTGCTGTATATCGTTTATACTTTTGCATTTAAATTTTCACGATGCAGGTGACAACTTTCCCACACGAGAATCCTGACTAATAGCATGCCTAAACATCGATTGAGTCAAGAGCTTGATGGAGCTAAAATATATTTAGCAAAACGGCGCATCTTTGACAATTAGATAGTGTTTTTTTTTCCCCAAAAATCCCTGACTCTTAGATTAATTATCGATAGATGACCAATTAGATTAATTGGGGTCTTATTTGGCTTTTATGATTGGGTATAGACTATGCTTTGGCCTGAACCTTCTATATGCGCAATGCATTTCATCCAGGCCGAACTCGGTTGAGCAAACTGGCACCAAAAATTAGGTTCGACATACCTTATTTTCTTTCGTGCCTTCATTCATTTTATTTCATTTTTCTTTCATTTTGCATCTTTGCAAAATGAAGCAGCTCTCCATTTCCAAGGAGCTCCTCATGGACATCTCAATTTGGAACTCTTTAATGGTGGGCTATACAATTTCATGTCTGATTCATCTTCTTTCTATTGATTATTCTGATGAACTATCAATAAATACGCCCCATCAATTGATTTCGCATTATTACTCCCTTAAATAGGACAATAGTTATACTTTATTACAGGTGTCTCATGAAAATTGTATTGTAGTTTTGAATTTCTGTGAGGTTTAATTTTGTCTTTTAAATTTTAAATAAACTAAGTTGATGGATATACGACACCTGATAAAATTGAAGGGGCTCATGCGTAGCCAGTCATTAAGACAATCCGAGCAGCGCTTATTTTGTTCCATTTTACATATATTATTGATATGGAGTGGAGAATAAACAGTGAAATTTTTAAAGGAAACCTGTTATGATTATTATCGGATTGCACCTCATACCGTCGAGGTATTCACATCCGTTTTCAGAATTCAACTTGGTGGAGTTGTCAAAGTACAATCATGGTGAAATCAGTATAGTTTGTGAGTAATTAGTGAAGTCACTATTCATTGAAATCACATGTTGCTGTTTTTAGACCAATTTTTCAGGGAATTTCCCATAATATTCATGAGAATCACAATCACTTCTAGGCGGAGGGTCATAAGTTAAGTATGTTATAAAAGATTGGTAAGTTATTGTAAGGTCATTACCTTCACCTCAATCTTACGAAAAATCTCCATAGAAATCGAGTTGACAGATTCGGTCAAATTTTGATAGAGAATGTACAATTTCATTGAATTCTGACAAATCTTGACATAAGAATACGTTTAGAACATCTCCGTCAGAATTTGTTATAATATGTCCTTATTCGATATTCCTGGTCAGAAATTCACCATTTACGATCGATTTTTGAAATAAATACGTCATTTCACTTTCTATTTCTTTTGAAAAAGGGGCAATGCAAAATGTAGATACCATTCTGTGCAGGATTCACTCATTCCCTTCGGACTTTCTCCATACGAATTGGTCAATTCATTCATAATAACGACATGTATCATTTTTAGCTGGCCATGTGGTATTTTTCCAAGTCTGGACAATCTATCATTAATATCCGTTCGAATAGCATAAGACCAATCCCAATCTCTGTAACCTGGGCAATTTTCTTGTAATTCGCTTGGGTGAGAAAAATCTATTTTTTTCTCACCAAATCAAAACAAATGCATAATTCCTTTGCTGTCAAAATTACCTGTCATTTTATCTTTTTTAAGGATTGAAGTGGCTCGAATAATAAATTGAGACAAAAATCCTCAGCAACGACTATTATTCCCATAAAATCTCCAAAAACGGCTATTCTCATGACTCTCATGGCTGTTCTCATGGTTTTCAGTTGACCTTCACGATCTTTATGATTTTATTACATAAAACTCATACCCGAATGAGTTATCGATTCCGCCCCAGTATGCACTAATCGGTTCTGATTTCAATGATTAAAAATACATAGTAAACATTCAATTAAATTTCAGTTGAAGCATCATTATGGGTAAACAATCAACACCTGAGTTCGTAATCGAGTGGACTAAATACACAACAGGGATTTTGTTCACATGGCCTCCAAGTTCGAAATCAACACGACTCACAGAGATTATTTTCAAAATATGTTGGTACATTTCCTTGATTTTCGCCGTAGCAAACGTTCTCCCACTGCTGAGCACGATGTACTACCATCGCAACAATTTTATGAAATTCACGGAATGCTTATCTATGACACTCTGCTTCGCGCAAGTTGTGTTTAAATTGATTATAGGAAAAAATCATTATAATCGCCTTCAGGTGAGTATTGGTGGCACAAAGGGATTATTCTTAAAGAATAGTTCTACTTTTGCATAATATTGATTTTAATTCAATGTACTATTCATTTGACAGTATTTAATTGAAGAGATGAAAACATTTGTGGAGAATGCAAGTCCCCACGAACGAGAAGTGCTGACGAAATACGTGAAACGAGTTTCTCCTTTTTACCTCTTATATAATATTATTACTTTGGGTGCAACTTTGGTTTATGTGTTTGGTCCTTTCATAATGGATCAGCCATTTCCGAATGTCGCTGAGTTCCCTTTTCCTGTGGATGAACATCCTGTTTATGATATAGTTTTCGTACTGGAAGCAATAGCGGGTGTACAGTGCGGTTGTAGTTCTGGTTTTATTTGTCAGACGTGTCTACTCCTTTGGTATGGAACGATTCAACTGAACTTTCTCGCTGAAAAAATTGAGCATGTTACCAGCTCTCAAGAAGTCGCAGAGTGCATTGCTGTACATCAGCACGTATTATGGTGATTAGTCAATTTTCCCATTCCAACATCCTTTAAAAGAAATCTATACAGCGGCTCCTATTCTGAACGGTTACTCTTGAATCAAATTTGAGAGCGAAGCGTCACCGCTGTTATATATAACTCAGCTGGAAAGAGCAATCAGAATGTTATGTAGAAGAGTCAAGTTCACTTTATTTCTGAGCTTCGGGGTTTTTCCCTCTCAAAGCATTGAATTTCAATAGCCTGGTGATAGTAGGACATTATTGACGAATGTAACCCATTTTATGCGTCACAATTTAAAATTTATGTCCCCGTATACTTTTCCTTTTTGAAGGTATATTGAAGAAACGATTAAAATCGTGCGACATGTGGTAACAGGACTGCTCGGAATAACCACTATATCCATCGTATGTGGGGCGATTCATATAGTTGGAGTAAGTATATTTATTTTTTATTTAATTCAACAAAATTTGTTGCAAGTTCCTGTACCCGAGTGAAAATTTCGGTCAGGTCCAATTTAAGACTAGCTCAGGTCAGTCCTGAGGAATGATCAGAAAGTGATATGATAACTAGTTTAAGCCCTGATCAGTCATGTAACGCGGTTGGTGATCAGGCATCACGGTTCTGGATTTGATCAAGCTGAACGTAATTAAACCCAGTGACCTGGCCATCGGAATCAATAACAATTATTAATGATAATTAATTTAAAACAAAAGATAAATCAATTTTTTTACTGTAGATTGTCTTTCTTAATGAATCACTCCGGTAATTACCGCTGAAAAAACTTTGATTTTTCTGATGCTAAGGATCGAACGGGGGGCCCTACGATTGCTAATCCTATACCCGAACCACTAGACTAGTGCTATCATTATTCAGTGGACTTCGTTTTGTCTATACGATCTGAATGAAGGTATTTGTTGACTTCGAAATTATTCATTATCTTGCGGATTTGTGCGTATATTTTGAGAGCGAAAAATTGTTCTGTTAAAAATTTATCCATTTCATTAATAAATAATTCGAATAATTATAACACTAATAAACAGATGGAATCTTGATGAATCGTTTTCTACTCAAGATAATTTGCTTGTGAGTTTGCTACTTTTACTATATATATTTCTACCACCATCTCTCCCTCCTCTCATACATAAATTGAAAATGGATATTAAAAATTCGATTATGGCAAAACGTCTGTTCAAATTAAGATCATGGGGACCAGATCCGAAACTTATCATTTTTCTTCCTTTGCACCCGATCAAATGAAAATTAAGGGCAACAAATCCGAATCGCATCGAATTGGGTTTAGGCAGCCTGACCTCAGTCTGAGATCATATCTATCTTATCAAAACTCAATATGAGCCCGCCTCGAGATTTTGGGGGCCGACCTATCGTATCAAAACTTGGTCAGGTTCTCCTTAGGTGTCACCTGATCATGCCTACATGACCAGAACTTGATCCAACCTTGCCGGCAGTTTTTGGGATCCGATCTACTAGATTAAAACTAGGTCAGGTTCTTATCAGCATGATCAGGTGCCGTCTGATCATGCCTACCTGACCAGAACTTGATCTGAACTTGCTGGCAGTTTTGGGAATCCATTCCACTGCATCGAAACTTGGTGAGGTTTTCATCAGAAATCACCAGATGAGTCGAACCTTACATAAACTGGATCAAGTCCTGATCATACTTCAGGTGGACCTTTAACAATTTCCACTCAGGTAAGAACTTGCAACTAGTCATCGCCTGAGGAGGGTAAGGCTATTGTACAGATCGTCAATATTTTGGAATTAATGATTCAAATTACCGTAGAATGAAGCAGCACTCAAAAAAATTCAGTCTGCTTGGATTCAAATTGCGTACGCCATGGCGCTACTTGCTCTTGCATGGGCCGCAGAGAATTTAACCGCAGCGGTAATCAATCGTTCTAGCATAATTAATTCTTTCATTCATTCATCATTATTTATTTAACTATGATACTATTCATCTTTGTGTGTGATAATTCAGAGCGAAGGAGTTAGTTGGGCGCTGTACAACTCGTCGTGGATTTTTAATTCGAAGAAATTGATGCATAGGGCTGCAATTTTCATGACGCAGAAATGTCAACATCCGCCGAGAATAGCAATCGGTGGGTTCATGCCAGAATTATCCATGGAATATTATACAAAGGTATAGAAAGCTTTATGACTTGAATAAAAAAAATGGGAAACAGCGGAATCTGGAGAATGATCCGTTTTTGTTCCAGTATATGTCAGCTGTATATTCCTTCTTTACAATGGTACATGTTATGCTTCAGAAATTCGAAGAGAATCGATAGTATAATTTGATATTGAATTTTGTTTTTCACCATTTGATTGTGCGATTGTTGTACTTGGTTATATTCACACTCAAGTATGTACATCTGAGTGTAAGATAAAATAAGATAAGATATGATGTTTATTGTTTAGAAAATTAAACAAAATAATGACATGGAGATGAGATGTATAATAGATACAGCGTATGAGAACAAAATATAGATATTCGGCAAGATTAGAGAGAAAAAGTAAAACAGATAGCAAGGAAATAAGCACAAGAAGTAGAAAAGTACAGATGACAGATAGCACTATCAGGTAGCAGAGGTCAACAGAGTCCTTCTTGAGCATGCACCCAACTCCGCAATTCACGCTTGAAGGAAGCTGACGTGGGCATCTCCCTTATGTGAGGAGGGATACTGTTCCATATCTCAGGACCAACGACAACAAGTGCAGCCCTGTACGTATCAGTCCGGAAGCAAGGGACAATCAAGGCCTACTGAGCTAAGACATGACGACGCGGTCTGGCAGAACTATAAGTCATAAAGAGATCAGCAAAGTATGTTGGATTACCAGACCGCAGTACTTGGTACATGACAGAGGCGATGGTAGATGGTGGATGTATCACCAGGTATGGTAGTGTAGGTACAGAACAAACAGCAGAATCGAATTTCTATGAGTGAATGTTGGTATTCAGTGGTGTTATTCTTCTCACTTTTTAGAGGAATAGTGGAATCCGCTGTGTATTATCTGCGCTGACGTTTGTATTTTTCAATTGTTTAATTTTTCATTAAATTTTTTGCAAGAAAAATACACTTAAAAATAATTTTCTCACAATAAGAATCGTCCGCAAGCAGAAGCTGTTGTACAGTAATGGGCAGAGGGGGAAACCTTAAAGAACACCTTGTTGGGCGTAGAATTGTTGAGAGTAAGTGTTTCTTATTTTTATCGAGAGTCTCCTGTTAAATAGGAATTTTTATATAATGTTGATTGGATATCTGAGGGTATTTACTTCATTTAGTTTGAAGAGTAGACCTGTATACTAAACACTGTCAAAGGCTTTCTAAACGTATAGTTACGGACTGTTAGTTTTAAAATTATTGTGTTTGGCGGTCTGCACTCATTTTATGAAAAATATGTTTCCTTCAAAATTTTCTGGGCTCTTCGGTTACTTGAAAATATCATTCCCACGAATATGATTATAGGATTTGAAAAATTATTATTTTTCATTCAATGATAATTTGGACTCACCTTCAGCTCGTGCAGCAAACTTCAGACTCGTCATAACCTGTTACTTATCGCCCTTATATTACAATGAACTAATATGTTCCTGATTTAGAGGTGCTCAGGACCACAAGTCTTTGGGACGGTACAAGCTGGGCTCATTGAGTTGAATTTGACAGGGATTATTGATAGAAATTGAAAATATCGAAATTGAAAATTTTGACGATAATTTGTAACTGAAGTTGTACGTCAGAACGTGGGGCTGCTCATATCCGTCATCCGAGTATAACTGGCTATTGAATCAATCTAGATGATCAAGAAAGGCCGAGCGATATCATTCTGATCCTTAGCCAGTCTTGGCCCATTCTCGAATACCAATCTTACGCCTGAACTCAGCAAGCTTGGCTGCTCTTCTACCATGTTAGGAATTAGAATTCTTCACCAATAACTGCGTCCGAGAACATTAGTTGCACGATTAATCTTCATAACAATTCCATTTCCATTAATCAATGATTAACTGCAAGCCGAGGTGCTTAGTTGAAGTTTGACTCATCGTTTTTTTCCATCTGGGGATATTCGAATGATGAAGCCGGTTTAATTAACACGAGTGTAACTATGGGCAAGGCTTTCTGAGAAGATTCGGATAACCTAGTTCACCAAGCTTGACGGGAAGTTTCCTTAAGCCAACGTTGAAATGTAAGGCTTATCTACGCCTTACGTAGCAACACCAAAACTTCCTATGAATGATCGAAACTTGGGTCAAGATTGATCTGATCGGCCATTCTTTTCCGGGTAATGCCTGTTCAATCGAGCTGAATAGAGTTGAACTCTTCTCGCCACCTGACTCACTCAATCCGTTCATCTGACCGGTTTGATTGATTCAAACAGCGAACTATTCTGACGTTTCTGTTACCTGACTAAACAAAATCATATTACAGGAAGTGCTGTGACGAGGCGATTCTTTTATTTTTATTTGTTTTTTCTTACACATCTTTGCCCAACTACACACTGCCCCCTAAATAATAAAATCCCGCCACCGTTGGATACCCCTTCCCTCGATTTTCCCCGCATCACCCCTCTACCCACGCTCCTGGAGTCTACGACGACAGCCGCCGAAGGAAGACAACAGTTCCGGCCCTATTTGATCAACTGAAGGAGCCGTTGCCCCCCCAAAACCACCCATACATAGGCCTAGACAACCCACCGCCCTCGATAATCCCCATCGACACATCCCTGGATGGTGATCGTGGGCCCGATTTAACCACTATGATTGGCCCCGATCATCCACGAAGATGACCCGAAGGATCTCGATTACTCGCGAATCCTTACGAATGAGACGAAGGAGAAGATGGCAGAGAGAAGAAGCGGCACTCGTGTAACCGCTGTCCTGGACACTGCCACGTGCGCCCCAAGTTAGTTGACGAAATAGTGCAAATACCCCGAAGTCTCTGTACATTGGATTTTTGTGTTGGAGAAAAGAAGATTTTTTGTATCCGAGCTCATCCCGGCTCTAGATACTGTNTAGTGCAAGTACCCCGAAGTCTCTGTACATTGGATTTTTGTGTTGGAGAAAAGAAGATTTTTTGTATCCGAGCTCATCCCGGCTCTAGATACTGTGCCCCTGGAGTCAGAAAGGAGGAACGAGGGCTCTGTTACAGGAGTTGTTGAAGGACCTGGATCATCTTTTGGACGTCCAGACCACACCTGGAAGTCGTGAGTACGAGTTGTCCCCCTCATTTCCCCCTTTACCCCAGAATAGTATCCCATTTTATCCCCCCAACGGTGCGCCACACTTGTTTTTCCTTTTCTCCCTTTAGAGTGATTTTTACTCAATATTAATTCTCGATTTGACAACTCATCTAGATACTACTAGCTTCTCCCCTTTTGATCAAACCCTAGAATCTCCTCTTGACGTGTACAAAAGTTGCCTGGCCTCCCCCACTTCCCTAGATCTCGATTAAAGGCCTATTTCACGTCTTTTGACGATCGTCGATGTAAAATTTAGAAAGAATATATCTTATTATTTCAAATTAACCCTTTATTTGCCCTTTTAATTTCAATTACCCTCTCATCTTTTCAGGGATTAATTCAATTGAAATTAGGAAAAGGTCACAGTGCATATTGATTCCAAGTGCTCTAAATTGTAAAGGAGTCATTACGATAATTTCATTCAGTTACGAGGAATCATTAAAAAGGTTCGCATTTAGCTTCATTTCACATATATTCTTAGCACAGAGTGAATAATTAATGTCAAGAGTTTTAATTCAAATATTCCGAGTGCGTCAAATCATTAGACTTTCTCCCAAGGGCCTGTTTACATTCGTAATCCGGATAGCGCTCGGCGGTGTAATCAAAGCGTAGTCCTAGCGAAATCAGCGTAGTTGGTGAGTAATCAGTAAAGTTATTGCATTCACTTGAATCATGATCATTCCTTAAAAAAACTTTTTTAGAAATCCTCCGGGATCTCCATAAGCGTCACAGTCTGGTTCAGAATGTGTCCACGATACTACACTAACCTAATGCACTGTCTACTACTCGTTTTGGATTTCAATGATTACAGATACCTCGTAATCAGTTAATGCAATCAATGAAATGTTTGAAACGCAATTCACTTTCAAGGGAAGCATCACTATGGGTAAAGAATTAACTTCAGTGTTTGTAATCCAATGGACGGGTGTTTGTAATTCAATCGGCTTCGCCTCGGGCAATAATCCACACGCAGGTTGGAATGTCCTGTTTTCCTCCCTTGGTGTACAATCGACTATCCTCAACCACAATTTTGCCATATATATTTGGTCCCTTCGCAATGGACCAGCCATTTCGAAGTAAAACTGGGTGTGTAATACTGCTGTACCGGTGGTTTTATTTGTCAATTATGTCTTTTCTTTTGGTATGGAACAATTCAACTTCTAATTCTCTCTGAAAAAATTGAAAAAGTCAGCGATTCACAAAGACTCGTGAACTATATTTCCATACATCAGCATATATTGCGTGTATGACTTAATTTTTACAGATTTTTCAGCAAATTTATTTAATAGAAAAAAATAGAGACCAACGAATTTAATCTTGGAAACATTGTCCATCGTTTTCTATGATCTTGCGCCATTTCTCATGTAACATACGAATGCCGTCGTGGAAGAAACTTGCAGGCTTCGAGGCGATAAAGTTATCGACGACTTTACGCACATCGTCCAGCGTTTTGAACTGTTTATTCACTAAGGCGTGCTGCATTGACCGGAACAAGTGATAGTCAGATGGGGCCAAGTCTGATCAATATGCCGCTTGCGAGAGAACTTCCCAAGTTCAAGAGGGCCTTCTGAGTCGCGTGAGCAACGTGAGGTCGAGCATTGCCATGCAGCAGTATGACTTGCCTGCTTCCTTGCCCAGTAAATGGCCTTTTCCGATCAAGTTCTTCGCTCAGTTTGTTCAATTGTCGGCTGTAGCGTTCCGCAGTCACCGTCTGAGCAGTTGTCAGGAATTCGTAATAAAACACACGTTTCATGTTCCACCAGATACACAGGAGAATCTTCTCTACGTGGATGTTCTGTTTCGGCGTCGATGTACTCGGTTACCCGGGATCTACCCACGACTTTTTACGTTTGGGATTCTCGTAAAAAATATACTTTTCATCACCCGCCACAATTTTCCACAAGAAGTCTTTCTTTTGTTGCCGGGCAAGCAGTAAAAGGTACGTGTTCATACGTTGACCTAGGTTGTGTTCGGTGAACACATGTGGAGCCCACCTTCCAAGTTTTTAAATTTTTCCCATTTGGTGTAAACGCTTGGAAATAGTTGTTTTGGTGACTCCTAACGGAGCTGCTCTTGTGGTGTTTGCATTCAGTTTTCATCCAGTAGAGCTTGCAATTCCGCATCTTCAAACTTT